CGCCTTATTTTGATGTAACGCGAACGACGCAGTCGTCAATGTGTTGAAGATCAGAATTGTTTACAAAAATAAAGTATATGTATGATCGAATGTAGTTAGTCATGGCAATAGTTCAATTATGGCCTTCAAGTTTTCTCTCTTTTAGCAGGTGTCGTGGGCAATGCAGATACATACTGATAAGAATGCTTCAGGCATGACCGTTTGTTTAAGACTTCTCGGATAACTCGTGGACTTTTTCTTCATGCATGGAAATTTTGTAGACCATCATTCGGCATCATGAAGTCTTTAAAAAATTTTCTAGTGCGTTTCGCTTGTCTCAGGAAGACTCAAGGCATGAACATACGGTTAAGACTTAACTCACATTTGCCCCGGTTTTTGACACGATTTTTCTAACCGGATTGAAATATTAAATAAGTCACTATCTAAAGCCAATTAGTCTCTGACCTCTTCTAAAAGTGAACACGTACTGGATTCTCCATGAAATGAATGCTTTCTCTAACACCAGAAACTTTCCAAACAAAAACGATATATCAATATGTTTTAATCAACTAGTATAGTAACTTATTTCTACTAAAATATTACCCATATGGTCTATTCGTCGCTAAAATATTTTTTCCAAAAGATTTTTTTGAATTTCTACTTGAAAGTTCAAAAGTCACCTATTATATTGTTATAAATTTTCGGTGTGAAATCCGATTTTTAGGTTTACCCAAGCAAAGAAAACAGATGAGTCATTTTTCCAAAATATTGCATTAGCTATTTAGCACAAAATAGAAATATCGTAGTGCTATTTTTATGGCCTACACTAAAGTTACAGAAGAACAACAACCACAACGATAAATCGTTTGATGAAGGACACAGCTTGCACAACAACGCGATGACCTTACAATAGGGGTTTTATCGTACGAAGAGAATACATACCTGTTACTATTTGCCAATTTTCCTTGAGCAACCTCTAAAGCGTTCAAAGCATCTTTTTTTGAAACAAGTCAGTCATGTCGGAATTAATGTAGCCGAAAAAATATGAATGGTTGTTTGCCATGAACTATATTTTTCAATTTCATTTCGTGTCTATCTAAGAAGAAATAAACTCAAGCGAATAGGATATTGACAAATAGGCAGTTATTACGATTAAGACATGATATATTCAAAGTATAGCTATATGTGACGTAATGAAAACGTAAAACCAGAAACCTTGGGTTGGGCCCAAGATTTTTTGATTTTTTTTACTTTCAAAAAACTAAGGCACACCAAATTTTCATGAACTTGAGCCAGC